CAGAATTTGGGCTTGATTTAATTTCTGCGCCCTCAGAAAATCAACTAAGACTGGTTACAATAGACTATCTATTTTGAAAAAGAGCAAGAAAAAATTATGAAAATGAAAGAAAAAATGAAGATTATGGAGGAAAAACTAAAGAAAATTTAATAAATACATAAATTAATTAAGGAAGAATTCTGTTATTAAGTTTTAACTAAATGTTTCAAAAATGTGATAATTCAGAAATTATTTGTTACTTTTGTTAATATATGATATATATTTATTTTTAATAAGTTTATATTCTATTCAATTAAACATTGATTAAAATCATTGTCCCATTTTGATTTCATAGTAGTTTGCGGTATTATACACATAAACACGAAATTATGCGCAGAAACTGACCCACAGGAATTAAATTCGCGCAGCAACTGATGCGCAGCAACTGACTCAAACGCGCAGAATTAAACGCATTGAATATTATTTTTAATTCATTAAATTTATTAAAATAAATTATATTTTAGAGATGTTATTTATTGTAAACATATCTTAATAACACAAACTACAAATTTAATAAGACATAAGTTCAATTTGATCAATATAAAAATTATATTTTATAGTTAAAAGACGTCTTGACCAAAATACCGCAGGAATTAATACACTTACCCTAAGTGACCTAGAAAAACCTAAGCGGTAATTTTCAAACAAATTTGATGGATTTTTTATTTCTTCGTCCAACATATTAAATCCTCCATTTTTAATTTTAATAAACTGACTTCAGATTCAGCATCAGCGACTTCAAAAACCTCCGAATGCCAACTTTTAATCAAATTTGTTTCATTTTTAAATTTTGGGTCATTCCAGCGAAAACCGTCTAGAGCTGGTTGCTCGATGATTTTAAAAAATGCTGTAATTAATGTATAATATTCTTTAATACAATTAGATTATTATCCTTTAGTGGTTTATAGCACCAAATATATTTTACATTCATTTAAATAATTTTTTTAAATTTCTAACCGGTTATGAAGTCTAACATAACTCATTTTTCGAAAACTCAGTGTAATTAACTAAAAACAGATTAAAAATACTGCTTTTTATTTTAAATATGTATATTTTTGTTAAATGGGGCGTTTCATATGAAAACGACATATGATGTTTCAGATTTTTCTCATATTATAAGAATTGAGAGTGATTAGGGTCCTAATAAAGTATACTAAGTAACAATAAAAAATTATTTTAATTTTTCTAGATATTTGGATTAAAAAATTTTTGTAAAATTTTTTTATTTTGAAAATAACTTTTTCTTGCTTTGAGTTTCAAAAAATTGTTCTGAACATTTTTTGTGCTCAAAATACTAAAAATTCAGAAAAAAATTACTAAAAATAAAAATTATGAATTTTAAGTTAATTTGTTTAAACAATAAAATTTGTTTTTAATATTTAAACCCTTTCTCCCTGTTTCTCAGGTCTGAAAAAAATCATGAATAATGTTGATAATACCTATAATAAAACTTTCCTGAAATTTTTAGCTTGGCGTTATTTTTGGTTTTTGAGAAAAAAATTCCTAAAGCTTACAATGCAAGCGGTGAGCTGTCCAGCAGGTGTGAAGAGGCGCCAATATTGGAGTTATTATTAAATAAGTAAAGAAATGTTAATTTGCACATTTAATATATTTTAAATATTTACTAATTTAACAAAAAATGTATTTAAATGTTCGAAAAAAGAAGACCTCTGCCTTTCCCTTCCTTGTGAGGTACAACCATCTCATTACTTTCAAAAACGTGAAATAATTTCATGTTATTTTTAACTGTAATTTATTTACATTTCTAAATATTAAAGGAATAAAAAATAACAGGAAACGAAAAGATGCTTCGAACTGCTTTAATTTAACAGTATAACTGATATCAATATAATTGGTTTTCTTTAGGTTATTTAAAAAAAATTCAATTTTTACAAATCAGTACTAACCCAATAATGCAAAAAATTATTATTCTTATTCGACACAAAATTAATATTTTACATAGAATAAAAACACTTTTAAAAAAGGTTAAAAATATTATAATCTCTGTAATAATTAAAATAAAACATTTTTTAATTAGGAATGAAAAAATGGTTACAATTAACAATTGCAAACATTGAAAGGTTAATAATAGATTATAATGAGTAATGATCAGATAATATTTAGTATGATCTTCTTTTTCTATAATCCTAATTGTATAATTCATGTTTCTTCGTGTATAAACGATGCTATTGGAATCGATCAACTATATTATGTTCAATTTTTTGAGTTCTTCTTTAATACAATGTTTCAATTTTATTATTGTTATTCCTCTGCTAACGACATTAAAAAAATCTTTTGAATTTAAAATAAAATCACTAGTTGTTCTTCTTGAATTTTCGAGGACAGTATACCGTTTTTTGTTAAATTAGTAAATATTTAAAATATATTAAATGTGCAAATTAACATTTCTTTGCATTGTAAGCTTTAGGAATTTTTTTCTTAAAAACAAAAAATAACGCCAAGCTAAAAATTTCAGGAAAGTTTTATTATATTATCAACATTATGCATGATTTTTTTCAGACCTGAGAAACAGGGAGAAAGGGTTTAAATACTAAAAACAAATTTTATTGTTTAAACAAATTAACTTAAAATTCATAATTTTTATTTTTAGTAATTTTTTTCTGAATTTTTAGTATTTTGAGCACAAAAAATGTTCAAAAAAATTTTTTGTAACTCAAAGCAAGAAAAAGTTATTTTCAAAATAAAAAAATTTTACAAAAATTTTTTAATGCAAATATCTGGAAAAATTAAAATAATTTTTTATTGTTACTTAGTATACTTCATTAGGACCCTAATCACTCTCAATTCTCATAATATGAAAAAAATCTGAAACATCATATGTCGTTTTCATATGAAACGCCCCAAGTATTGATATTGAATATTCCTTAAATATAGGTTTTCAATATTCCCTGAATATTATTCAGGTATGTTAATAAAACATTCCTCATGAATATTCTTTGAACTTACCTATAGGGAATATTTTATATTCGCGGACATTTACCTACTTCCGTGAACATTTCTGGAATATTTTTTGGAAGGTTCCCAATATGCCTGAGGAATATTCCAGGAAGGTTCTTGAAATCTTTTGTGATGTCTGGGCATTTTGAATAACACATCAATAGCATAAATTTTTAGTATTTTTCTTTTTTTGTTAATAATTTTTTAAACATTAAATTAATAGTTTATAATTTTGACAAGAATTAATGAAAATTTTAATAAAAAAAATACAAAAATCAATTTTTTTCAAAAATTAAAAAATTGCTAAAAAAATTAATTTTAGATATTTTTGAAAATCCTTCCGTTTAATTTTAGGTATTCTCTTGACCGTAATACATCTACCAAATTTTATCAAAATCCGTCATAACGTGTAAGAGAAAATTTGTCAACAAGAATCGGTGACATACGTACATACACATACATCCGGACATTTGTTCCTCTTGACGAAATATATATATATATATATATATATATATGTAATGAAATTTCAATTATTAATAATATTATATTGCAGGTATTTTGAATTGAAAATCGTTTCTAATTTTTTGTTTATGAGTCTTTGTTTATTTTCTTTGCTTTTAAATATTCTTAGTTGACTTTTCAGTTGGCTTCAATTAATTACAATAAATTATTGCAATTTTGTGAAAAATATTTTTGTCTTTAATTTGGATTTTTTCTATTATATTACTAATTGAAATTTCATTTCATTGTTTATTCTGGATCAATTGATACAAATTTTTCTATTCGCCTGGCGCTCTTTGGGCGTTTAGCTTAAAGCCTAGGCTTTAAGCTAAACGCGGGCGAATAGGAAAATTTTCATGTAAATGACAATTATTTTTTTAATCGCCTGAATTTGTTAGTCATTTAGCTTAATGCCTAGGCTTTAAGCTATATATATATATATATATATATATATATCCACGCTAAATCGGAAATCATTTTGCTTTTGCATCTCAAATTTTTTTAAACATTTTTTTTCTTTTAGCACTCTTTGAAATGAGTTACCTTGATTTTTTTCAAATTTTTTCATAAAGCTGTTCAGGAGATACAGATTTTTGAAAAATGACGTTTTTGACGTAAATTTTTTTTTTAAATGCTTATAACTCGGTCAAAAATTGATTAAATTGGACGTTTTTATAATGAAAAGTTTTTTTTCACGCGTAGTTTTTAATAAAAATATTTTTAAAAAATTTTTAAATAATTTACGATAAGATTTTAAAGTTTTTAACAATGTATGTATCGATCAATTTTTTTCAAAATTTTTTGTAAGAAACTAGCACTAAATTAACAATTTTTAAGCCTTGTTTGATCGTGGGCAAACGATGATTTAAAAATTTTTAATTTTTATATACAAAGTGAAAACGGTAGGTCTATAACTTGGAATTTGACCAAATCACAATTTTACACAGAAAGAAGGTTAAGTTTGGAGAAACTCAGTCTGAAAACACATTTGCTGTGAAAAATTTGTGAGATTTTGTCAAATGGCAAGTTAGGCATTTGGCCACCACTGCGTATATAAAAATTAAAAATTTCAAAATAAATAGATCCCATCGTTTGGCCACGATCAGACAAGGCTTAAAAATTGTTAATTTACTGCTAGTTTCTTACAAAAAATTTTGAAAAAATTGATCAATACATACATTGTTAAAAATAAAATTTTATTTTTAAAATTTTAAAATCTTATCGTAAATTATTTCACTGAGAAAACTGGAGAGTCAAATTCAGAGGTTCAAAAAGTGTATGTTTCCTTTGCTTATGAAGAGAGTTAAATAGTCCTTCTAAAATAAATTTTGAATTGATAATGGAAATCTACTTGTATATTCTCTCCCATTATATCTGAGGGTTAAAAGTTGCGCAGAAAATGTGTACGATCTGATGCGCGCGAAATTGTTTTTCTGACATTTTATGTATTTAATTTAGAGGTTAGGTTGCCATTTATTCATTTCGCGCCGGATAAGGAAGGGATTTCTCAAGATGGTTAATTTGTCCCTCTGTTAGAGAAATGGCACGAATATCTGTCAATGGTGAATTTGAACATTCCCGTGTGGAAATTGCCTAACTTAAGTTGAGTTTGAAGTTTGGCCCCAACTTGATAAAATATTTTATGGCTACAACATAAATAATATCGTGGCTCTGGCTAGAACCAGTCTTAAGTGATCTAAGTACGTAACCATGGATATGGTATTGTTCTTATCTTGGCTCAGTGTTTAATCTAAGTTGTCAGCATAGAGATAATATAAATAGAGTGGGGATGGTTTGCATGTATGCGTCCGCTTGATAGAAAGAGAAAGAAGATTTAGCACCAGTAGGTGTCTCTCTTGCGCTGGAGCTCATTGAAGGACAGATACTGGTGTTAAATCTTCTTTCTCCCTCCAACCCATTCTGTTTATGGCAGGACACTTCCCCCACACGCTGCCGCCTATACCTTCCCCACTGTATTTATAATATCTCTATGGTTGTCAGTCCCAAGAATCAACACAGCTGTTGGAATCAACATTCACTCATTTAAGGTTAAGTCAAATAAGTAACTATACAGAATTATTTGTAATGTTATGCTAAAATGAATTGTTTCTTTTGATATTCATAATGAATAAAGAAAAAAGTACGAAACGGGTCCGAAGATGCAGATTTGTTTCAAAAAATACTACTCGTCATCTTAATGAGAATGAAGGTAAGCTAAATGAACTATAATTTTAAATATTAAATTCATTCATAACCATAAATTGTAGAAATTTCAGATATTGATTTGGAAGCATCCTCTTCAGAAAATGAAGAGCCAGAAATTTTACAGAGGTTTCCTGATGAAAATGAAGCTATGGCAACTGTTAATCCTGAAATTAATGCTAATAGAGATACAGGTAAATTAATCCAATTAATTATTAATCATTCATAATAATACATTTTTTTTGCAAAAATTCAATTATTTTAAACACAATTTTAATAAATTCTTCAAAACAATTGGGTAATTGTTTTTTAAAATAGTAAAATCTTTGCAAAAATTTAATTATTATCAATAAAATTTCACGAGAGAATTCAGTTTTTTTCATAATTCGTTACAAAATTTTCCAAAAGAATTCAATTATTTTCTAAAATTCTTCATAAATATTCAATTATTTTTAATACAATAAATTTTTTCATAAACAACTTAATTCTTTAGAGGATTTGAGTTATTTTCAGAAATTTGAAACAAATTCTTATCAAGAATTTAATTTTTTTTATAATTAATTAAATTATGTACAGAATTTTAATTATTTTCAAAAGTTTTAAATATATTCTTGTCAGGAAATCCTTTTGAAGTAAAATTAATTGCAAAAATTATTTTGAAAATTATTTTAAGAAGTTGAAAAAATTCTTCGTTTAATTCAATTATTTTAAAAATTTTCTATTGAAATTATTTAAAAAACTAAATTATTTAAAATAAATTCTGCAATGTAATTCAATTATTCTTAAATTTTTTGTAAGAATTGAATTAATTTTAAAATTAAAAATATTTTAAAAGAAAAATTATTAAACAAGTTAGGAAACAAAAATGCAAACAACAACGAACTTCGATCTGCGGATATAGATTACCGGAATACAACGATTATTAATATAGATTTTTTATATAATTTTCAAAAAATATTTCCATACATTCTTTTTCAAATTTTGTTTGTGAATATAATTATTTTTGTATTTTTAGAATCGGAAGAATCTATAGCTTCAATTTCGGAAGACGATGAAAATGACAATGATGATGGCTTTGAAAATGGAATCATGGAAGTAGTGGAAGATGAGCCCGAAGAAATAACGCAATTGCGAGTTCTAGCGGTTAAAAGTGGTATGAAGCAGATACACGTTAATGAAATGTTGAAGATTTTAAGAAACAGGCTTCTTCCAGACCTACCTAAGACGGCTAAAACATACCTCGGAACTAGCACTGCAAAATATAATATTGAACCCATGCAGGATTCGGATGGATCGAATGGCGAGTACGTTTATTTTGGAATAAAATCAAATCTTGACGAATGTATCGATCCAAACGTCCACTCCAAGTCAAAGATTTTCTTACAATTTAACATTGACGGAATCAACCCGAATAAATCTGGAGAAAAAGGATTTTGGGTAATATCTGCTAAGGTTCACTATCGTCCTGATATATTTAAACCATTTGCTGTTGGAATTTATTCCGGAAATTCTAAGCCAGCGAGAGTTGACGATTTTTTTAAAGATTTTATTCCAGAAATTAATCTGCTTCAACGGAGAGGAATTATAATCTTGGAAAAGCCTTTTAATGTTAGAATTCATTGTTTCATATGTGATATGCCTGCTAGAGCTTATATAAAATGCACAAAAGGCCATACAGGACATTATTGTTGTGAGCGATGCACCACCAAAGGTACAAGAGCTAACAATGTCACACAGTTTCCGGAAATAACGTGTGAAGAGAGAACTGATCAGTCTTTTCGAACTCGCAGTCAACGTCAACATCATACAGGCATAAGCCCACTTTTGCGAATTCGTCCACCAGTAAATTTAATTCATGCTTTTATTCTGGATTTTATGCACTTGTTCTGCTTAGGAATAATGAAGCGATTATTAGATAGATGGTTTGTCATTACAGGACGTGCGAAAGTTGGCTCAAAACTCAAGAAAGAAGTTAGCAGAAGGCTTGTGCAGATCAGAAAATGTGTACCGTGCGAATTTCAACGAAAACCTAGAAATTTGAAGTATTTACAAAAATTTAAGGCAACTGAATTTAGGTTTATTTTACTATATTGTGGACCACTTGTTTTGCAAGGTATTTTGAGTGAAGTACGAATGAAAAATTTTCTTTTATTGCATATTGCTTGCCGAATTTTATGTAATGACGAACTTCTAGAAAAATATCATCAACATGCAAATCTTTATTTGCAGCGGTTTTTTTCAACATTGCCTTCATTGTATCGCAGGATGCAAACAATGAACATGCAATGTAGCATACATGTTGTTGATGATGTTATTACAACAGGCTGCAACTTAAGTGAAATTACTGCCTTTCCATTCGAGAATTTTTTAGGAAAATTGATTGGTTTAATTCGAACTCCCAACCGTCCATTAGCTCAAATCTGTCGTAGGCTCCACGAATTGAAAAAAATTGATCCTCCAAAACCAACTCTACCTTTTCGTATTCAATTATTAAAATACAGTGAAGAGAATATTCTTAAACTAAAGTACAAAGAATATACATTGGCTACAAATAATCCAGACAATTTTGTATTGCTTCAAGACATGACACTTGTACAAATAACAAGAATCACTCGTATACTCGATAATATTGAAATAGAAGGAAATCCTTGGAAAGTGAAAAAGTCTTTATATTTGTATCCAACAGATTCTGAAACATTGTATATGTGGGAACTTCGAGACAGAGCAGAGAATAATATTATTCGGTGTGATTTAAACGATATTAAGTTTAAGATGGTTAAACTTGAGTTTAATTTGAAAGAAAATGAAAAAATTCGATTTTATACAATGCCTCTTCTGCATTACTCGTAAACTGTATAAAACTTTTAGGTGGAATAAAAGTGAAAATATCGTTTTAATATATTTTTTGTTACCTCCTAATCAATTAAAAATTTAATAATCTGCTTTTGTTGAGACTTCATTTGATGTCATATTTTTATTCCTAGAAATAAAATTATAAATTTATTAATTTAAAATTTTACACTTTGTATAACACTTAACTCAATAAATAAATTAATTTCTATTAATTAAAATATTGAAATAATTAAAAAACTTAAACTTGTCAAATAAAAAATTTCCAAAATTTTTACTTTTTGTAATTTGATTGAAATATTAACAAACGTTTTTTAATACTTTTTAAGAAAATTTTAGTATTTTAAAAACATAAATAATAAAAGAATAATTATGAATAAAATTAATTGTGGTAGTCAATTAATAAAACTAAAAATAAATATAATAAATAAATAAAATTCATTTAAATCATTTACTATTGTAATTGAAAAACTGCTTATACGAAATAGTAGATTTAAAAGAAACCAAGTTTAAATTCATTAATTCGAAATATGGCGCGCTACATCTTCGTATACCTCCGATATATCGAATCGCTGAATTGAGGCAAATTAAAGAGAAAACGTTAAGAACGCATGTATCTAATCAGTGATTCCTATTGGCTATTGGCTCTTATTTTTCCAACGTAAGACACCGCTAACCAATCAGCGCATGGAAGTGAAATGTTCGACAAAGTCCTCTTGTTTTATTTTGCGATGACATGAGGATCAGTTATTGAAAAAACTATCGTTGTGAAAGTTGTGCTTAGAGGTAAATTTAAGTATAATAATTCTTCCAATTACAAAGTTCTTTCTGAATAAGGTAAGACAATATATAATGTTATGATAAGAAAATTTAATTAAATTCATAAGTAATCTCGTATGTGCATGTCATATTTTGAGGTTATACCATGTGGTTTTCGTAACCTAAATTTTGAATAAAATTTTATCATTAATTTTTTATCATATTTAGTCTTTTATCAATATTCAAAATTTTCTTCCAATAAAAAATGAAAAACAATTTTGAAAATTTTTTCCTGAACTACATTACCATTCATGTGTTAAATTAAACAATATTGCCATAAAAATACATAAAAAAGAAGAATAAATCACAAAGATTTTTTATTTATATTTATTTTCTATTTTTATTTATGTTGTAACAAAAGTTGTTGTAGATTTCCTGGAAACAATATTCGAGTATATTAAATAATTTTTTTCGTTATTCGAAATTGTGGATTCCAACATCGTATTTCAACGGGCATTTTTAAAATCATCTCTTAATTAAAAACTCTGCCTTTTAATCTTCTATTTAAAGAAATTATATTTATTCTTAAAACTGCAAATTTTTTATATTTTATTAATATCATGTACTCTCGTTTCAGAGACATATAATAATGGAGAGCCTAAAGTTGTATCCTTTCCATTTAGTGGAATTTATTTCTAAAGGAAAAAAAGTTGCAAGATGTGTAGATTGCGTTTGCCTTAACTGGATAAGGTATGATGAAGAAACGAAAAAATTTATGGCTAAATATATTCCACCACCCTACACAGAAAAAACCAAAGCTATTTTTCAAATGATGGTAAAACAACAACTAGATGTTCCCGACCATTGGACCGAGTACAGCGTCAACTTAGTTGGTCATGCAGGTATAAGTTTTGCAAAGATATATTATGGATAATTTTTTTAAATTAAAAAAAAATTAAATTAAATTTTAAAAAATTTAATTAAATTTAAAAACAAATTTCATAACAATAGTTATATTTAATGCTCTATTTTTTCCACAATTTCATAGGAACATATGAAGAAGCGGAAAAAAGGTTGGATGCTCTAAACTCAAAAAAAAATGTATACAGTAGTGAATCTGATATGAATTCTACACAAAAAGCAAATGCGATAAAAAAATTGATGAAAGAAAAAGGAAGTGCTGATATTAATCGTGAACTAAATGATTTGCCGTCACTTAATGACAAACTTGAGACAACTCGAGATGAAACATTTCGTGACGAAACAAAATCTAATTGTGAGGAATTTTTTTTATAATTGAAAAATATTAATAGTAAGACTAAACCAATTTTCATGTAACTATTCGGCATTTTCAGTGGATAAAGACAAAAGCGCCTCAGACAGTGAAGCAGATGAAAGCGGTAAATATAATAGAAACACTTTTTTATTGAAAACATTCGGATATTTAAAGTTTTTTTATCATATTTTTCAGATTATGAATCAAACGATGCCCCGAATCAGCCTTTAAAGAGAAAAGGAAAATTCAAGTGTAAATAGTTTTATCTTTCAATTCTTTGCAATGTATGAATATTCTTACAAATTTGCTTGAATATGTTTTCAATTTTCTAATTGTAGATGATGCTCGAAAAAAGAGGAATATTATGTCCTTGACAAACAGTAGTAAGTTATTTTCACTAAACATTCATAAAATTATTTGATTTAAAAAAGGTGAAATTATTAGATAAATATATAAAATAAAATTATTCATTTCCAGTGGACGACGAAAACTTACTTAATACAGTCGATGGATTTTTACTAGAGAATTCAAATTTGCTTCAAGATGACTCTGAAGGACCTGGATCCAAGGATAATCAAAATTTAGAGTTTTTAGATGACAATTCTAATTCGCTTCAACATAACTCTAAAGGGACTGGATCCAAGACTAAACGAAATTTAGAATCCAAGCCTTCGACAAGTACTGGCAAAAGTGAGTTTCTGCATTTACAATTTTTAACTATTATATATTACATTATTATTAATTATTTATATTAAATAATTATTCTTATAAGTTGTAAAAAATCTACTTATAAATTTGTATAATTTTCAACTTGCAAACTTGTAAGTAATGTAATTATTATTTTAAATATTTTTAAATAATAATAAATTTAAATCATCGAAATTAAGGTGTCCGCATGTCAGTAAAGTTAGTAAAACAAAATTTTTGTCAAGGAAATTTAGAAAAAACTTGAGATTTTTTGCTAATTATTTTAAAAAATTGTGACTTCCTCTCGACTTTTCTTCCAAATATTGCAACGAAATATCATATTTTTTAGTATTAAATGTAACTTATTTCGATTTCTATAGTGCGAAAAATAACTTTCAATAAATCTTTCAAAAATTATTTTTGAATAACGAAAATATAAAAATGAAAATTAATGGGAATTAGCTTCTAATTTTTTAAATATAGTATTTCCAGTACTCTCAATTACATATTTTCAAAAATTTAAATACGTACAAAGAATAATAACATATTAGAATTATTTTTAACATTTTGGAGGAAAAAAATTATGTTTAAAATATTTCATTCAAATTTATCAAAAAATTAATTAGTGTTTTTTAAATACCAAAGAAACTGTTTTAAGAAATTCAATTGTTTTTGAAAAATTACATTAAAATATTTTTAAAAATTACTTCATTCTTAGAATTTTTTATCATAATTTTTTAAGCTATAATTATCTTCGAATAAAGCAAATAAAAATTTATTTTTTTGGACTTATTAAAATTTTGGAGAAATCATGGTATATACAATTAAAATTCTTTAAAAATTTAATTATTTTTATTTTTTGAAAATATTTTACCTTAATAAACTTAAAAAAAACATGTTAGTTTAGTTGAAAATTATAGAAAATAATTAGATTCTTCTTAAATTTTTCCCATTTTCCGTAAAGTTCCATATTTTTCTGTAAAAAGAATTTTGTTAGGAAAAATAATTTTAATGTCAGTAAAATATCAAAGAAATTGATAAGCTGAAACTTGTGACCACCCTGGAAATATTATTTTACTAAATAGTAATTTAATAAAAATTTTATTCAATAATCAGTGTAATACAACATTTCTATAATTGAATACTTAAATAATTAAAGAAAAAAAGATTTTAAAGAAACTGTACGTTATGCAAATTAATAATTTTTATTTTTAGTGAATAATAACTTCAATATTTCGCAAATTAAAAATAGCCAGAAGAACTCGTCTTCAACTAATGCATCATCAAAACGTTTGGTTGAAATTTCTAGCAATTCTAACGGTAACAAAAGTTTGAATATGTTAAATTACACATTTCTTTAAAAGAATATTTTTTTGGTTATTTTGCTAATATTTTTTATTATATTTTTATTTATTTTTGCAGATTCTTTACTTGTTCGTATTATAAAAGAAATACAAGGATTAAAACACGACATCAGAGAAGTTAAAAATAATTTATTAACTTTGACGACAATGGTGGAGAACATGGCAGAGTATAAAGATAATTTGAAAATAAGCTTAACAGAACAATTTAAGTTAAATTTACCTATAAAAGAACTGCATGAACTAGAAGAGTTCGATATTAAATTAAAAACAGACGAGGACTACTAAACTAAACAGACTAAACAACATTTTGTTTAGCTTTTGTAAGTTTTTTAATCTGCCTATTACAGCACATAAAATAACATAATTAAAGTATAATCAAATAATGTCTTTTATGTATTCTAGAAAGCCTCCTTGACTTTGCTGTTCGATAGGGATGGAATAATTCGAAAATCCCTCACGAACATGATTAAAAAGTTTATTGCCAGGGAATTAGCAATGAAGTTTACTGCTTCAAAAAAAATTGCAGGCAAAGAACTATTTAAAGATTTTTATATGTGCACTTGCATAGTAGGTAAGTAATTTATCAATATAGTATTAATTAAATAAAAATTAAATAAAGAATAAATATTAACATATTTTTCTGACAGATGTTGTTGGCAAAAAATATTCCACCGTCGAAGGAAATGTTCTTGCGCACTTGGGAACAATTTTTACGAACTCGAAAGATTGGGATGGCCACAGAAAATCACGTGTACCCGAAGAGAAAACCGTTTAAACTTTCTTACTTTAAAAAAAAATACCGAAGAAAAAACCAAAATGTTAATTTCATACGTTTAAACTTTATTAAAAAAATTATATTAAAAAACAAAGTATATATAACTATTTATATATTTATATATATTTATTTATAGTTTATAAAATGTTTTATGTAACAACAATTTAATTTTATAAACATAAAAATAATTAATAAAAATTTTATTTTTAGTAATATAATCTATTTAGTTGTTATTTAGTTATTAAATCAAGAAAATCTGTTAAAAGCATGTTAATTATTTATTTAAAAAATATGCTACAAAATTCAAATATACATTACAAATTTTGTAGTTTGTTTTTTTAAATAATAATTACATGCATTTAACAGAAAGTTTCTTGATTTAATAGCATTCCATTTGAGAAGATTAGCACTAGAAAGTAAGTTACAGCCAACTTAAAGCCAAGTTAGGGCCAAGATTGGCCCAAGCTATCCGATCCTACAGGAAAGTTACGTAGGCTGGAAGTTTGATAGGTGTTTCATTTCCAATATGAATCTATCTACGATATCAAGTTTGGGCCAAGTTTAATCTAGCTTGGGCCTGCCTAGCACCAATTCAAAATTTCCACACGGGATTTAGATTGTTATCCAATAGCTAACTCTCAAATATGAACGATTTGTCCCTCCAGATGTTTAGTCCAATACTCTAGTTTTCTCAGTGTTAAAAATTTTTTTAAAATATTTTTATTAAAAACTACGCGTGAAAACCAAAATTATAAAAACGTCCAATTTAATCAATTTTTGACCAAGTTATAAGCATTTAAAAAAATTTACGTAAAAACGTCATTTTTCAAAAATCTGTATCTCCTGAACCGCTTTATGTAAAAAATTGAAAAAAATTAAGGTAACTCATTTCAAAGAGTGCTAAAAGAAAAAAAATGTTTAAAAAAATTTGAGATGCAAAAGCAAAATGATTTCCGATTTGGCCTAGAATGCCTCATATATATATAACTTGAAAATTTGTAAAAATAATTGATTCTAAGAAATTCGAAAATCTACATCTATATAAGGCTTCCTTTGAGAGGAAGCAAAAAGGGGAATATTCCATTTATTTATTTTTGTATATGAATATTAATAATAATTACCTAATTTTATGTGATTAATATTAACATTCATTAATTTTATTTGATCAATATTAGTATTATTAGTATTAGGGGAGACTAGGTGCGGTTGTTACGTTGTGCAGTTGTTACAAATGGAATATGTCCGAAACAGTGAATTATAGAGATGCACGGAGAAAAATGGAGTTTGAAAAACTGGGAGTCAATATTGAAAAAACAGGACTCAGTCCAGTAAAAGTACATTAATTCATTTCCATCAAGCATCTTAGGGTATCGCGTGTAGTGTATAGAGGGCCTTAGTTCCAAATGTCACTGTAAAGAGCATTGAAACACAGACGAAGATTATAAGGCGCGCTGCAGTGTGCATAGTAGAGAAACTGGACTCAGTTCTCTACTTCGAAATTTTCACAATAAAGGAACGCAGGCGCGTTACCTGTCAAAATAAATGGCCGACGCGACGCGAAACGAGTGTTTCCTTTTATTCACTTCGTCAATTTTATATAAAAAAAACAATAACCAATCATTAAAAAAAAGAAAAATATGTTAAATGCACTCTTTATATATTCATATTCATTAATTCATAAGTTTTATTCTTCCCACATCTTCATACTTACAATTAACAACTACCCAGGCGGAAAAGTCGGACGAATACCGGATCGTCCAACCGTCTAGCGCCCGCGCCGGTTGAATTGGAGAGTCATGCTGATTCCACACTTACCCAGTCGCTCCGCTTTTCCGTGGCGCTTCGCGTGAGACAGAAAAAGATAGAGATAGTCTCTGTCTTTTTCTATCTCACGCAAAGCGCCACAGAAAAGCGGAGCGCTGGGTAAGTGTGGAATCAGCATCAATGCCAGTGCAGGCAGTCTGTACCGATTCGGATAAGAATGTCTGCTGGCGCACGGAAAAAAAGAAATTAAAATTATTATATGATATTATCACTCGGTTGTTATAAATATTTAATAAACATTGAATTTAACGATCATTAAACACTGTCACACACATTAACACATTAACACTGTCTATAAAATTAATTGTGAAAATTGCTCTGCATGTTATGTGGGACAATCAAAAAGAATGGTAGGTGTTCGTATTAATGAGCATAAAAACTCGATTTCTAATGTAATTGCTACTCATAACGATTTTTTTAAACATAAATTTGATTGGAAAAATTTTCTCATATTGGACAAAAAAGTAAACTACAAAAAACGTTTGATATCGGAAATGATCCATATTAATTTACAAAAAAATCCGGTTAATAAAAAGGAAGACGTACAAAATCTTAGTAATTGCAATAATCATTTTATAAATGAAATGAAATATTCTTAATCTGTTTGATTTGCCCTAACATTTCCTAAATTTTGTTTACTGACACGGTCATTCACCTCACATCAGTTAAATTATACTTCGTGAATTATAAATTTTATTTACCAGTGTCCAATTGTAATCGCCACGACAAAGACGTTCCTTTTGGAACCTTTTCTAATTTTGTTTATTTTTTTCCGTAAATAATTGTTTAAAAATAAGTTTATAATTATTAACTTTATATTTTTAAGAATGTATTTTTATTCTAATTATTTTTCTTTTTTTGTTAAATAAATTATAGTTTCTGAAGAGGGCAGCCGCGCTGTCGAAACGTAAAACAACATTTGTTGTTTTATTTTATACACCTGACTCGGAATGATCGTTAAATTCAATGTTTATTCCCAGTGGGAAATTTGCAACCGGCGCGGATCCTCGCCTGTACCGACGCCGGAGTAGTGGTACTGGCTGGGAACCGCCTGCCTACCGCCCGAGAACTGGTTTTCTACCAAAAGATGACTTGGCCAGGAGCTGGCTGGCCATCCGTCTCGGAACTGGCATTCTACCGCCCGGTAACCGGCCGCGAAGAGCCGTTCCGTGTATAATTCAACCGGCTGGGACCCGGCACTGTACCGACTGCGGATCTTTCATTTCCTAGCCAGATGTGCGCTGGCAATGCTGGCATTCTACCGCCTGACAACCGGCTCGGATCAAAATAATAATTTCAACAAATATCAATAAAAAAATAATAATTAATTGCAAAAGATAAATACTGATAACAATTCATTGATAGTTCACTTTACACATTTTTTTATACACTTAACGGTATTTTTTTATATTCACATTTGAAAAATCCTAACGCTTGGGGGTACGAACCTACGCCTAACCGAATATTTACGCACCGAAATCACGCACGCTAACCACTATGCTACACGGAAAGAAAAAGTCCGTCAACCATTAATGGATTAGTATATTACTTTGAGACGGGACACTTTTTCCGTTGATGGTTACTTAACTTTACTTAACGATTGAAAACGAGTCATGGATTGATTAGAATGCCAGTATGTGACCAATTGTTTTAGATTTAATGCTGAATTGATATCAATGGCTGTTTGAATGTTTACGAATCATTAGTGAAAGTTTGTGAAACGTTAGTTGACTCGTATTCTAAATCGGCGCTCTTCACTAGCGCATTGTTGCGCAGTGTACCGATGCGCATTTCTTCCGGTTTCTCTATAGTCCATGTGTTTTTGCTGTCTGCTATACATATCCCTATATACTATTATGTGTAATGTGAATATTTAACTTAACTAACAATTTGCAGTTGAATTGCGTCTAGAAATTGACCTCGATGAAAATATATTTTCTTTTATATTTCTCGCTAATTAAAAAGTAGTTATTAGTGCAAAATCATTTCTCACAAGTTGTGAAAAATTTTGTTATTTGGTATATAAGAACAGTTTGCTTCTAAACTTAAAGTGTTATAAGTGTGCGTTTCTACGTGTAGTTATTATAAGTGCGAAAATGTGTTGGAAAATGTGTTGGTCTAAAGCGTCTAAGAGTGTAAATAAAATATCGGAACTGTGCAACGAAAAAAATGTGTTCATTCTGTACCAAATAGTGTCTAAAATTAGGGATAATTCTGAAAGAAGTTGAATTTTTTGAATGCTTTTGATAGTCATAGAAAATTTAATAGACAGTTTTCTAAATTTTAGTGAACGAGTTTTATATATTGATGACAGTTTTCTAAATTTTAGCAAGCAACTCGTCACTGATTGTGACTCAAAGTATGTTATCCATTGAATGATTTTGTGTCCCGTCTCAAAGTAATATACTAGTCTATTAATGATTGACGGACTTTTTCTTTCCGTGTACGCTCGCATGGAACTCTCAAATCTTAAATGCTTTCAAGTCTCACTAGCTAAAATGAAAATTGTAAAATTACTACGCGGCAATAAACAATTTTCAAATACGGACTGATGTTATACCGGTATTTATGAATATTTTAATATTTCGTTTAAAAAGGAACTTGTTAAAATTGTTATTTTATTATTATATTTTTTAATATTTTATTACGTAATTATTAATAATTGTATGAAATTTGAATGCACAACACATTTTTTTAATTATTTAATTTGCAGAAAAGTGTCAATAAATAATTACTTAATATATTGTTTTAATTAAAAAGAGATTATTAATTAATTAACAATAAATAAATTAATTAATAATCTGTTTTTTATATATTTATTTAATGTGTTATTGTGTTATTTATTGTAGGTATTATTATATATTGAACACATTTTCTTTCAAGTTAATATTATTATTTATTAAAAATTATTTATTTAATTGCACATTAATAAAGTTGGATTTTTATAAATATAATGAAAAAATTAAGTTTCTTATATTCTTCCTTTGCATCAATACAATTAATTTATTTATTGGTTAAATAATAATAATAATAATAATAATAATAATAATAATAATAATAATAATAATATTATTATAATAAATGCAATTAGTTATTGTAATAGTTAATTAGCTATGATATATATAATAAAATAAATTTATGATTATACTGATAATGTGAACTATAACAATAAATGACGAGATCCGAGGTCGGATCCGCCCCAGCACCGAGCCAGTACAGACCTAAAGGC